GCAACCTCCGCCTCCTGGGTTCAGGCAATTCTCCTGCCTCAGCCTCCTGAGTAGCTGGGATTACAGGCACGTGCCACCATGCCAAGCTAATTTTTTTGTAGTTTTAGCAGAGACGGGGTTTCACCATGTTGACCAGGATGGTTTCGATCTCTTGACCTCGTGATCCACCCGCCTCGGCCTCCCAAAGTGCTGGGATTACAGGCTTGAGCCACCGCGCCCGGCCTAAATCTTTTTTTAAAAAAGTTCGTAGTTGTGTAGATGCTCTTGAAAAGTAAAGATGCCATGCAAATAATTGTAATTAGATCTGTATCACCTGAAGCGAGGAGACCGCAGATGTTGTCTACCAATATTGTAATTTGGATGAGAAATGGACACTTTTGATTGCTTCATCTATAAAATTAGGAGGTTGTATTATAGGATCTCTAAAGCTCCTAACATTTCTATTACTCTGCGTTCAGGATTCATGTATCAAGTTTTGTTAAAAATGGGGCACACTTATATTTGAAATACATGTTAGCTTGATTGCACCAATTTCCCACTTTGGATTAGAATCATCATTTTGCTATAAAAAACATGTAAATATAGGTTTTCTGGTTAGCTTTTTCTTTAAGAATAGGAATGGGAGGTTTTTGTAGCATCTAAACACGCAGATTAGGTGCTCCATCCCCCTCCCCCTCCCCAGTCTAGCATATGTAGTTTATTTAGGGAATTAAATGAGATTGGTATGTAGGATCTGATACAAGAGAGGTTGCTCAGCCGTGTAATTTCTCTTGCTTTGCATCTCGATTTTATTTTTATATGTGGTTACATAAGTGAGTTCGGTAAACACACCTTTATAAAGAAAGTCCATTATATTTTAAAAGAACCAAGAGTAACATTTCACAATGGTATTTAATCTTAGGCAAGGGTTTTCAGAATATGGACCCTTTGAGTTGTTTTTCTGATAAGTAAAATTGTAATATTCAAATACGTTTATCAGAATCCCAGATTTCTAATAGCCGAGCAGCTGTATTGTTAAAGCCGCAACATTTGAAACACCAGCACTGGACCTTGGTTCTGGGTTAAATACTCACATGCATATCTCGCGCTTTGTTTAAGACACCCTTTGATCCCATTATGCTTTTGCCAGAGTTAATATTCAGAGTTTGTAAGGTCAGGGGTTAGGTTAATTGAGTTACGGAAGCATATCACGGCAGCCTGTAAAAAAAAAAAAAAAAAAGATGTAAATATGATTTAATTTTAGCTGTACCTCTAATACTGTATGTCTGTATAGAGAGATGAAAGCAATATGAAATGTATTTTAAATAAATACTTCAATAGAATTATACATTGTCTAGTTGTATCAGCTGCATATATCTACAGAGGCAGCTCATTTTTTTCTATTTGAGGGAGAGATTGTCTCATAGCTATATGCCTTCAGACTTTAAGTGGATGAAGTTTTGTTTTTTTTCTGTAGCTTCTATTACAGTGAGATAATGTGTGTACTAAGTAAAATCAAAGATTATCTAAGAACTGTATTTTTATATCCTAGAGCTCATTAATTTGCTTGCTCATTTATTATTTATTCAGTAAGAAGCGCCCATTTTGGTATAGTCAATGGTATTTGTTGTTAAATTATTTCACCTGTTTTATTGAAGATCAGGACAGAAGTAGAATACTTAAAAGTATAATTCATGTGGTTTATTTCCATTTCACTCTGTCCATATTTTTATTAGTCCCATTTCCTTAATTTTTACTACCTCTCTTTTTCCTCTGTCTAGCTCTGTTTAAGCTGCTATTACAAAATACCAAAAACTGGTGGCTTATAATAGCAGACATTTCTAACAGTCCTGAAGGCTGCAAAGTTCAAAATTAAGGTACCAACAGGTTCTTTGTCTGCTGATGGTCTACTTCCTCATAGAAGACACTCTCTTGCTGTGTCCTCATGTAATAGGAGAGACTAGCCAAGATCTCTGGTATCTTACAAGGGTACTAATCCCAAATGTCAGGGCTATAGTCTCATGACCCAATCACCTCCAAAGTGTCTACTCACCTTGGGATGTGTGTAGGATTTCATCTTACGAATTTTGGAGGAGACAAACATTCAGATATCATCCTCCCCTTGTTTTCCTTCTAAAAATACATTCTGTCATTCTTACTAATGGATTGCAAAACTAAGGGAAGTTTCTTATCCTGTTGGAGAATATTCTTAAAGAAACCTTTTTTCTGTAAATAGGTAAGTGTAGCACAGCAGCTACCATTTTTCCGTAAATGGATTAGTGTAGCACAGCATTTGGGGTCAGGGACTCTTGGGAGTTCTTGAGACCCTTCTTGTGGTCTGAGAGTTTAAAACTATTTTCATAAAAATACTAAGACAATATTTGCACAAATATGTTGACATTTGTCCTGATGGTACAAAAGCAATGATGGGTAAAACTGCTGATGCCTTAGCATGCATCAAGGCAGTGGCACCAGACTGTAGTCATTTCACCTTCAGGTACTTGCAATTAAAAAAACAAGAAAGGCCAGTTTAACTTAAAGAATGCTCTTGGAGGAGTAAAAAAAAATTACTAATTTAATTAAATTACAACCTTTGAATATTCTGTGTGACAAAATGGGAAATAGGCATAAAGTAATTCGGCATGCTGAAGTGTGGTTCTGCATTGTTTCAATTGCAGGCTGCACTAGCTTCTCTTTTTCATGGAGACCCATTCTTACTTAAAAAAAACAATTAATAGACTGACTACCCAGACTTCTATATTTAGCAGACATTTTCTCAAAAACTGAAGGAAGTAAGCCTTTTTAAGGAAAACCACTGATAGCATTTGTTACCAGTGATAAAATTCGAGTTTTCAAACCGAAATTATAATTTTTGAATTGACCCCTCTCCCCCGCAATGACAGCCTTCCAATAACTAAGGATGTTTCTAATGAGATGGTGATAGTAAGTAAATGTAAGTTTTTTAATACTGTGTAATAAAATGTATTGGAAGACCTGCAAACCCAGTGAACCAGTATTTTTCAAATGATATATATATACATATATATATGTATATATATATGATGTCATAGAGTCAAGCATGGGTAAAAGAGTCATTCAGATTTTAAAATAGACCAGTGGATTTTAATATAACAGTACGAAAAGTTTACTGGTATAGTTCAGATTCTACATTGCAACTAACCTTTAAGAACCTACCACTTGTCCAGTTTTAATATAGTATTGAAGAATATCGACAAGTATCTAAAAAGGGACTGACTTGTCTAGTAAGTGTTATGATTACTTTTCACGTTCTAGTGAAGTACCCTTTACTAGTACATTCACTGGTAAATGTTAAGTGCTATGGGGGGAAAAAAGTGGTGTACCTTAAAGGGCTATGGTGAGAGGGCACTCTAGTGCTAAATAGAATGATGATGAATCTTAATGGGAAGATGACATTTGAGCAAAGACTTGGAAGGGAGGGAATTGGTTATACAGAAGGAACTAGCCCCAGTAAGAGTGAGATAATGAGGCAGATATGACCAGAATGATGGAGCCTTTTTAGGCCTTTAATGGACTT